GGAGCCTCCTGGGGCCGAGGGCTCGAAATGTCCGTTCTGGTCCCTCGTCTGAGCACCCTCTTGGGGCCGTCTTGGGGACCTGGGCCATCTCGGAGGCGTCTTGGGCCGTCTTGGGGCCCGTGGGGCGATCTAGCGGCCCTCTTGGGCCGCCTTGGAGCGTCGGGAAGCGGCAGGGGCGAGAACGCCGAAATGTTTCAAACATCCAGAGGAAATCGATGATTTTTCCATTTGGGGCCCTCTTGGAAGTGCTTCTCGAGGCCTCTTGTTGGGGCGTCTTGCACGGCTCTTGGGCGATTCAGGGCCCTCATTGGACCGTTTTGGGGGCCTCCAGGGGGCGCTCTTGGCCCGTCTTGGGTTTTTTTTGGGCCCAGGGGGGAGGTCGTATCTGACCCTGGACCCGCGCCCCAGGACCCCCTCCCGGCTGGGGAGGGATCAAAGGGAAAGGGCTTCCCTTCGAGTCAATCACGACGTCGCTCAGTTTCGCTTTGGCTGGCGCGCTTGAGGAGGAGGCCTAGGGAACAGGGGGGGGGAGCGGCGACGGGCCTAGCGCTTGAGGAGGAGGGCCCAGGAGAGGGGAGGGAGCGGCGACGGGCCCAGGGGTAAGGCTGAGCGCAGGGAAAGGGGACGACAGAGACGACGACCAACGAATGACGGAGACGACGACTCGAACGGACAAGCCCCTCACACACGCCGACAGGGTCGGCGGATTTCATTATCCAAGTAGTTTTGGCCCAGCACGACTCCTCCTGCTCCTCCCCCTTCCCTCTGCTTGGCAGCGGGGCCAGGGCCTCGCGTCCATGGCCGGGCGGGGGCCAACGAGGCGCGGATGGTGCAGCAACAGCAGGGTCGAGGATCCAGGAGAGCGAGGAGAGTCGAAGAGAGCGATGAGGATCGACGATCAAGGTTCTTAGGCGTTTCTGTCTCCTTTCTGGGCCTCCAGAGGCCTCTGGCGGGCCTCGAGTCCCCTCCCTTTGCTTGGACACCTCCCCGAGCTCCTTCCCCTTACCTCCCCTTCAATCCTTGTCACGTTCTCCACTCTCGGTGCCATCGCCCACCTTTTCGCCTGCACTCTCGACAGAGTATCGTGCTTGTTGTCTTCGGCACCCCGCGGCTACCTCATATCATGTCCGCGTCATGCATTCATGATGCCTGCGTCCTCGCTCATGGTCGCATGAAAGTCGCCCTGCGGTCAAACTCTACGGAGGTTCTATTCGAATCAGTCCGCGACGGGTGTCAGGCTCGGTTTCTAAGCGGCGTTTTGTCATTTGGGAGGCGGGTCCACATTACAACATCATGGGTTGACATGTTTCCCGAGCTCACCGCTATCGACCAGTCACGCGAAGAAGACGTCCGCCGGCAGGCAGTTTCAACATCCTTCCTTCTACCTCTCTCCCTTCTCCTCTCCTCCTTCCCCGCCGCCGCGGCCCGTGGGTCCTTAGGTGTGGGTGAGGCGCACCACGTTTGGGGTGCGCCGTGGCCGACATACCCCCTTGGCAGAGGGCGTTCGTGGCGCTGTCCCGCGCAGGGGCCTCTTTCAGTGGGGCAGAGTGCCCTTGTGCGCGTGCCTTCTCTCCAGAGGGGGCCGAAGCCTCACTCCCGCGAGATAGTCGCGCGTGCATGAGCGCAGGAGCGATGGCGTCGGGCGTCGCCTGGCGAGCCGACCTGGCGGCGCCGGCGGCAGCAGTGAGGGGTGCGAGGCAAAGTAGTGCATCAGCTCTGCGGCGGCGAGACTTTTGGCGATGGTCTTGCGAGGGAGGGGGGGGAGGGAGGGCGAGGAGGAGGAGGAGGGGGGGAGGAGGAGGAGGAGGAGGAGGAGGAGGAGGAGGAGGAGGAAGAGGAGGAAGAGGAGGAAGAGGAGGAGGAGGAGGAGGAGGAGGAGGATGAGCGGGACCAATGTATACCCAAGAGTCATCAACGATGTTGGACTTTTCCCCCCTCCAAGCTTCCTCTTCATAGGCCCCTACAACGATTTATTTCCTCTGAGGGAACTGCCTCGTTGGAAGACAACAGTCTGAAGACCCTCAAGCATGCCAAAGCATTGTTCTCGGGATTCCAACGCCACGGATCAACCTGACTGTTGCGTCTTGACGACCTTGAATCGTACCAGGACGCCGTTCCTGGGACTTCGACACCGCGAATCAACGTAACTGTTGCACCATGTTAACTCCATCATAATCCTGACTTTCTCCAAAACACCATGTCTTGTACGTTGATCATGGGAAGCCGTTGAACTCTTGTAAATTTCATAAGCCAAAGTGCGCGGCGCTAAGACGAGAGCCACATTTTGAAAGGAACCGCCTTCATTACGTGAAGTTCTTGCATTTTTTACAACGAGTGTGCGCGGCGCTACGGCGAGAGCCACATTTTGAACACGTGCCGCCCTCAATCCTTCAAACCCTTGCACATTGTTAAAACAAATATGCGCGGCGCTAAGGCGAGAGCCACTCTTTGAAAACGACTCGCCCTCAATCCTTGAAACTCTTTGCGCAAATTTGTAGAA